CCTTCAACCGATGTTAGTCATTTATGTCCATATATATAAAACACATTGATTGGGTGCTGGTGAGTGGTATCACCCATTCTCTACTTACCAAGCTGCCGCGCGAACATAATACCCTCCGGCCCCTTTCCCGTTATTAGTGGCGGCCACACCGGCAATAGCCATAACATAAATAAACACCCATAAACCGATAATCGCAAGATACAAGGCCCGCTGCGGCGGTTTGTACCCTCTCACGACGGTTAGATAAGTATGAATAGCAATGGCACATATGAAACAGCTCGAAGACAGATCTCCTGTCGACACAAACCAGCCCTGCGCCCAGCAAGTCGGAACCCCTACGGTAATCTCGTTGTTCTGGATCCACGGAATATTCAACATGAATGCTGTAGCCTGATGCATATCGGCCAAGAACAAGTTGTATACGAGGACGAGAAACTGGTTTGGCGGTCCTCGTCTCGCCGCATGTCGTCGCCGCCGTTCTTCATCGTGTCCCTGTGGAAGAGCCTTCTTGGATAACCCAAAATTCCTTTGTGCTAAACCCAGCGATAGATCGTTTGCTGGGGTTTGGTGACCTTCGTCTATTCCCTTTGGATTCCCCCAATGCCACGTAACCAACTTATATGTCAGGAATAGGAACAATGTGGACGTCGTGATAAACGACACCATGCCGCAGACGCAGACGGCGATGAGTCCATTCCGATGGCCGTTAGGTAGAGGCGACAGAGTATCGCTAGCTGGGGCCAATGGACCGTAGTCTTCGTTATAAGCCATGCCCATCTATTGACCTCCCTCGTACGTAGGCTAGTACGATGTTGTGCTGCTAGAAAGCAGCCGCGCACTTAGATGATGCTTCACCCAAGTTTTATTTTTCCGAACGGGCCAAACTTTAACACGATGGGAGACGACCAAAGGATATACTCCTAGCGGATGCCAAGTACGGATCTGTCGCCGAGGTTGTGATGCGTTGGCGTATTTCGGTTTCCCCCCAAACATAGGCTAGTAATAATAAGTTGCTCTCTTATGATACGACATTGGAATATAATAGGCCGCAAAGCCGTAGTAAATCGGTTCCCATGAAGAACTCGAAGCTTAAGAGACGAGCTTTTTTTCCCCTTCCACTCATTTCACATTTTTCCTCAACGAGTTTGTAAGCGATGATACGGTCCAGGTGTACTAATTCTCGTTAGCGCTGTTATCGATGGAGCGCTTGTTATGCTGTAGCTTAGGCTAGGGGATGCCTATATGAAGCCCGGGCTAGCGGCATAGACAATTCTATCCTAGCCACACCGGGCTAGCAAAAGGAGTTCATGACAAGTGGAACATCTCGAAGGGGCTACCGAATTTTTTATTATCATCGTCCTTATTACCACGTGGGAAACACAAGCTTCTAAGGTACTATCACCTTGATTCTGCCGAACAAGGTGTACGTCTAGAAACCGTGTAACAGAACGACAGCACCTCAATAATCCTTCTTGATCCGCGCGACACCACGTACGCACGTACGCCGTAAGACAGCCGTGGTAGGGGTGATAGCGTATAGGGAATCTGCCGGTTGGATCTCGTTATCAGCGTAGCTTACATGGGTAAATCATGTGGCGACGGCTCTGATGGAACTCTACGACAGTCGCGATTATGCACACAATATATCAACGAGCGAAACATTGCCCACATACTATGTGCATAGGTAAAATATATGAAAGCTGGCCGTTTACTTCACAATCGGGGCCGAAAAATCGCCAGCACCACCATACTACATCTTGTAGTCGATGCCCGCCCTTCCCGTCCTTCTAGCCCTACCCTATCGTCAACATAGTTTCCACCGCAAAATGATCGTTATGTACAAGGTATAGCATGCAGATGGCGTGCCAAGGTAGGAGGTTCAGGCGTAGTTCGCCAAGTACGCTGTTAGTCTTGGCTGCATTTCAGCTCATGTGTCGCCCCTGAGCTATCCGGACTCTCAGCCAATCTAGGTATTACTTTGGTAAGATGCCACTAGTATAGTAAGGCGCGGACTAGCCGTAGAAGCTAACTGACAACCTAATTAGAAATTAGAGTTGATAATCTGCTGGACTTAATATTAATGATCACTCAATGATATGAAGCGATCTATTTTGCTATTAAGAAAATTTTATTCTATATGAAAGAATATACGAAGTACACAAACAATAACTTGATTCCTTGAGAATAATCAATGTAGTATGCCCCGAATATCTGGATAGTACAGGGCCCCCATGATGCAATTCAAAAGATGTATGCGAGAAATTGACCGATTGGTACAGATCTCACTTCAATAAACTTGGATTTCTCGTTTCGAGGATGAAACCTGGCATGCTTATGTTAAACTTAACGCAAGGATGATGTTAGGATCAAAGCTGAATATACTGGCTGCATCGATGCGGCTTAGTTCCATCGCTTCAAGTATTAATACTATTTCTTTCATGCAAGGTCATTATATCGTGTCGCAAGTATGAACCGTACATATTATAAAAGAGCAACATGATTCATTATTGCTTTCCTATGCGAAATAATGCGGAAACATTCCGCTTATGTCCATATACCCATGATTATCTTAGGACGAATTTTCTCGGTAGTACTCACCTATGTAGTTGATCATACCCGCATTATTTGTTAGGATTTTAGATGAGACATCTAGGACCAAGAACATGTATGTATATACGAGCCATGGGCTAGCCAGATAGGCTAGAGTTCTTCGCGGAACAACGAAGTTGTTTCAATGCTGTTTAGTTCCACTATTCCCACGTATAATGGGCGAGTGGCAAAGGTGAAATACAGTATTAATCTCTGCTCGTATTGAGTAGGTATATATTATACCATTGATTGTTTCTCGCTTCCTTTTAACATGTCGTATTATCTTAGGGACATCATTTGCGATTATTAGCAGCGCCGCTTACACTACGTAAGGATGTGGCCAAAGAGTGAGAACACGACCATTCTAAAACACGAAGACCTATAAACATAACTAAGTAGCTAAGACCGAGCTACTCATACTCAAGTAGTGTTGTATAACGTATCTTAATAACTGTAGTTTGACATGAGGTACTTATCCAATTCCGTTTGATATAAAGAACATTCTAATGCGGTACTCATATGGGCTTTCACGTTGTATTATAAATTACATAGCTCTATATATTTTATCGGATGAGTGATGCTGTGTAGGATCATACTCTTGCTTGGATCTGGGATTACTGAGTTAACATCGCGTATGACTATGCCCCAAGTTCTCTCGACTAGGTCCGGATACTTGGTGCTGAGGCTAATTACCTAAGTAGTATGATACGTAGGTAATCCCGTAGGAAAGTAGGGCTATGGGGTTGTATGGGTAGGTTGAAAGGGGTCTTTCACGTCAAATGATACGATAGAGCCACAGTTTTTGCAGTAGATTGGCAATGATAGGACAAAAAGGGACGGCTATGTCTCCCACGGAAGGGTGATGCAAATGCCCTACACGCCATAGACGTGCTTATTAGGTGATCGTGTGTATTGTTATCTACCTAGGCACTTAGACAGATCGCATAGTTAACCACAACAAACTTATCATATGGCCACAACGAAAATAAGTGTAGGGTTTAGTATATGACACTCTGGAGTGAAATGTATTATACCTATAAGGTTAGGTACTTTAAACAGTCCCGATTACGTATGTTGCTTGAAGACAAGGTGCGATTAGATAAAGCGCACTTTTGGGTAAGGCTGACCATGCTTGATGTGGTAACTTACACAAAGGCTGGCCTTACAATTGGCTGGATTTAGCCGCAGCATACAATCTCCGTCATCCCGCGTCCCATCTGAAGCTAGCGTTGCCGCTGGGTAAGGTCAGGTACCATTTTTGCCGATAGGCGGGGGAATGCGTCAAGTATCCGTGCTTTACTTTCAATAACTTTGTTTAATGTTATCAATCTTAGGGGCTGGTGAAACAGCCGACGGTAGCGGAAATGAAAGAGAACGAAGCATATACTTTCAAAAAACTAATAAGGATAAATATTGCTTAACCATCTCTTCAAATACATAGGGAATGTTCATCATCATCAACTTAGGTACCTAGTAGGTAGAAGTTAAATTTGGAAATACTTGTACGTACATAAATCAGCTTACCTTTAAGTTATGTAACTAACGTAATAGGTCAGAAACCTTATATGCAACTAGCATAGTTATAGCGCGCCATTGGTCCAATGATTGGTCTAGTGACCTTTTCTCGCGGGCGGACTCTCAACGACAAGTCTTTGTGCTGTTCCTACCTACAAAAGGTTATAATCAGCCTCCATTGATACTTACAACTACATACCTACAGTTAATAACACCTTCCAAACTAATCCTAGTCGGCTACACTTCCATTTCTACATCTGTTCATTGTCCATCTCGTCCCTGGCTCAGCGTCAAGCCAAATATATTTTCTTCTCCAAAGCTGCATCCATGCGCGCATCATCGCGATAGACATCGCCCACATCCTTTTCATATCCCTCCCGTAACCACCGATTTACCGACCATAGCAGCAACAAGCTAATCCTATCAGGCCGCTTATACCTAAATCTAAGAATATCGGACCGGGTATAATATTGATAGCGCCCTTGCTAGCTACAGCTGCTGTCGCGTGTTCAACCGCCAGCTGCGATTTATAAAGTGTAAAGTAGGGTATATGTACACATGCATTGCTATGTACATAGCTAATCCCTATAACTAAAGCAGCTGCTGATACTTTCCTAGAACTTGGGCATCTAATTTACCAACCGCCACTCGTTTAAACCTAGTACCAGCTATCATAGAACGCCATCTATCTACTACTTGACCCTTGCCTTTCTTCTTTCGCTATGTTCTGATCTCGGAGGCGACCCTACACACTATCGCGCTTGCATCGAGCCCCTCTCTTCATCCTTGTCGAAGTATATACTCGACGAAACACGACAGAACCCTCGCCAGCTGCGTGCCACATAATTCCCGGTTTTATCGTATTTAGAAGATAATCCGAACTAGCGTGTAGCATCATGGCAGCGCCTTGTAAGTTTCGCGTCCATACTGCACCCTTCAGTTCGTATATATCTTAGGCCATCCCTATTAGATACCACTGGTCAAGTAAGCTGGCATTGGACTAATAGAGGTAGTGACTGCGGAAGAGGAGACCCGTTATACGGAAGTCATCGATGGCATCCTAGCTACCGCGGACCTTGAAACCGTCACGCGTAAGAAAATTCGCATGGGCCTCGAAGCTGCACTGGGAGGGAAGGATCTAAGCGATCAGAAGGTGCGTGGCAAGCTCCTAAGTTTTATTACTGCAACTTGATTCTCATATAATCTACCCTCATCTACCAGCATCGTCGTCAGGGCTTTACTTTTGAGCATTACATCATGCGAGGCATCTACATTTTACTAACTCAGTATTCTTATAGAATGCCATCAAGGCGCTGATCGAGGAGCGTTTTGATGCTATCTCGTCAGCTGCCCCGCCGCCATCCTCCGCAATTCCCCAACCCGAGTTGACTTCTCCACGTCCCTCGCCTCCAGAACAAGCCAACGGCTACGAAGAAAACAGCCAAGATGCGGATGACACGAACGGGGATGAGATAAAGGTGTCAGTACAGCCGCCTAGGAAGAAACAGCGGAAAGAGAAGAGCGAAGATACGGAGGACGCGGACGCTAAACTGGCAGCGATGCTCCAGGCACAGGAGAACCAGCGCACTCGCGCAACACGCGGAGGTGGGAAGCCTAAGGCCCCGGTGAAGAAGAAGAAAGCCACACCTCGAAAGAAGAGCGAAAAGAAAGTTGGAGCCGATGACGATAGCGACGTGGCAGGAAGCGAGGAATCAAGTAGCCGGCCACGAAAGGCTGGAGGGGGTTTCCAGAAGCCCTTTAACCTTAGTTACCCGCTCGCCGAGCTCTGTGGAGAATCACAGGTGAGCGTTCCTCGAGTCAAGCTTTTAACCAGCGCCAGGTCCCTGGTAGCAAGTATCCATGTTCTAACTCTTAAGCATAGCTGTCCCGACCGCAAGTCGTCAAGAAATTATGGGAACACATCAAGGGCAACCAACTGCAAGACCCGAGTGACAAGCGGCAGATACGATGCGACGAGAGGATGCAAGCTGTTTTTAAGCAAGCTAGGGTGGACATGTTTCAGATGAACAAGCTGGTTGGTAACCATCTCTACCCGGTAGACGAGGAGTAATTGGCGAGTTGGTAAGGTGTGATGCGGGCACTCTCTTGAGCTGATCCTTAGAAGATATAGCTGGTCGGGCTTACATGGCTAGCTAGCGGTGGATAGCTACATGTTCGTGATATGGACGTGGCATGCTTTATGATCGTTTTCTTTACTCCCGCCGAACCCTCGAATGCGGCCGTAGGTGGAATCGGTCGGTTTAGCAGTCGGCGTTAGGGGGATGAGATTGATGCATCGGCGAAGCGGCGTAGTCATTGGGCTATCTACTCCGGATGGGCGTCCATAGTTAGATTCTGAAGCTTCATGTCAGATTAGCTAAATTAACAAGATGGGGTTCGAAGATGCTTAGGGTTCGCTTCGTGGCTGACCTCTGTTCTATTTGCGTGCCTGTGACCCTAAATGAGGTGAGCCTAAAACAGTCATAGGTAGGTAGATAATAAAAAGACCGGTTGCTTATGATTCTGTCAGCTTATTACATAGGTAGGTAGGTATCTAATATACCTAATGTTTACCTAGTACATTGTCACATTAACTATGACTACTTCATACATGTTTGCCTGGTAGAAAAAGGCATGAGATTAGCTATGTTAAATAATGGATCAAACATTCATCTCCAAACATAAGCAAAGTGAGTAATTGTGCTAAATAAATACCTACTATAAACTAGATCTTTTTAATGACAGGTTCAACTGATATGTTTATATGGTAGGCCTCTTCATGTGGATGGAAGGATGTCATCCCGCTATTTGTGGCTTTTTCTTTTCTTTCCTTACCTAAGGTTACCTATGTCCATTGCGCCCCGCGGTCCTGCGGCTGTGAAAAGTACAATACAAAGTACAAGCGCCGCTTATGTCATCTCATCGTCTAACGTACATAATATTAACTTTGGATGTACCTACATATGTAATGTTGTCACAAGCCACCACCCCACCAGCCAAAATTCAATCAATCAATAAGGTGGGATCAGATCGATCCCTACTCGTGTCTCCCAAGGATATAGACATCAGTCCAATATTTTAAGTACGTTCGGATAGTTACACCAACTCAATTTACAACCTTACATATTACTTGGGACTTATCGGTCGCATCTCTTCGCTCAATAAACTCTCTGCGGTCCATCATGCCCGCTGCTGCTGAGGATTCGACAAACGCGCCGAACGAAACCTCCGACTCGATACAGGCTGGGCGAGGCCGCGGCAGAAGCGAGCGGAATTCGAGAGGCAGAGGTAGAGGGCGCGGACGAGGCGATGGGAGCTCTAGGGGTGGAGGGCAAGGCAGATCGCAAGGTGGGAGAGGAAGGGGAGCTAATATATCGGGGGCACATACCTCTTCTTCGACGACGCCGCTTCCTCACGGAGACTCGGACAAGCCGGCACCATCTCTGCCTCAACCTCGCATTCCACCCGTGGCTAGCGAAGCGAGCGCCGACCAAGAAGATGTAGAGGCCGAAGTGTGCTTCATATGCGCGAGTCCCGTCATCCACCAGTCTGTTGCTCCATGCAACCATAGAACCTGTCACATCTGTTCCCTGCGGATGAGGGCGCTGTATAAGAATAAAGAATGCGCGCATTGTCGGGTATGGTCGATTCTACCACCATAGTAGCAGCTTCATTGTTCAGAGTATCGAGGGCTAACATCTCATCTCATCGCATCGGTAGACACTTGCTCCGTTTGTTCTTTTCACAGACGATGCGACGAGACGATACCAAGACTACTCTGACACCGACGTTACCAGTACGGACGATAATATCGGCATTCGGTACGCGAACGAAGATATAGTCGGAGACACCGTCTTGCTTTTGCGCTATAATTGTCCGGACGACTCGTGCGACTTTGCCGGCCTCGGTTGGCCAGACTTGCACCGGCACGTCCGTACCACTCACCATAAGAAGATGTGCGACTTGTGTACAAGAAACAAGAAGGTATTTACCCACGAACACGAGTTATTCACCGACAAGGAGTTGGAGAAGCACATGCGACACGGGGACGACCGCCCCGGCGCTGTAGACCAGACAGGGTTTAAGGGCCACCCACTATGCGCATTCTGCGGCCAAAGGTTCTACGACGACGACAAGCTTTACGAGCACTGCCGGAGCAAACATGAGCGATGCTTCCTTTGCGACCGTCAGGATCCTAGGCAGCCTCATTACTATCGAGATTATAATGCGCTAGAAGAACACTTCAAGAAGGATCATTTCTTATGCCTCGATCGCGAGTGTCTCGAGAAGAAGTTTGTCGTCTTCGACTCTGAGATAGATCTAAAGGCGCATCAGCTTGGCGAACACGGTAACTCCTTATCTAAAGATGTGAGAAGGGATGCTCGTCTGGTCGACCTTTCGAGCTTTGATTACCGACAACCTTACCAACAAAGACGGGGAGGAGGGGGAGGTGGTGGTTCCGGCCGAGATAGAGATGGGGACAGAGATAGAGAGAGGCGCGGAAGAGGTCGCGACCCGAACGCAGATCCTCTCCCGGTTAGCTCGGCACAACCCCTTCGTCGAGACGAGCTTGCTTTCCAAAGGCAGATGGCTATACATTCTTCACAGTCTGTCTCTAACCGGACGTTTGGTGGTCAACTATCAGCAGCACCCTCTTCAAACACTGCTACCCCCGCTGCCCAAACAAGTCAGCGTACACCAGGCCCCCCTGGCTCTTCTGCCCCCGCCACCACCAGCACAGCGCCGTCTATCGAGATGGAAGGACTAAGCTTGACGGACCCGAACTTGTCACCAGAAGATCGCGTTCGGCTTCTGCGGCATTCTGCAGTAATCGAACGGGCATCGAATATGTTGCAGAACGACCGCGACAAGATTGCCACCTTTCGCAGTCAAATATCTTCCTACAGACAGGGCAACCTGTCAGCTGCGGCGCTCGTAGATGCACTCTTTTCTCTCTTTTCAGATACTTCTTCCACTACTCTTGGTACGCTCGTTCGTGAGGTTGCAGATCTTTTTGAGGATACGAGTAAGGGAGATGGGTTACGGAAAGCCTGGAGCGATTGGAGGGCGATAAATGAAGATTACCCAACCCTGCCAAGTCTGAGCGGTATGCACGGCGCAACATCTTCTAACACCGGCTGGGCCGCCGCGGCCGCCAGTTCCCCTTTTACAGCCGCCGCGGCGCCATCCCAAAGGCACACGACTCGAGTTCTCAAACTCAAAAGTTCTACCCAGCAATCGCGGCGGTCGAGCGTAGAGCAGTCCTCTACTGTATTCTCTAGCTCAAGCTCAAGCTCTTCGCGACGCCCGCCACCGATGCCTCCTGCGGCTTCTTTCCCCGCCTTGCCATCCAGCAGCGCCAGCACAGGCAAGACTTCGCGGCCGGCGGCCACAGCCCTTTGGAGCTCTAGCACAGCGTCCCAAGCTCCACCCAGAGCGCCGAAGAACGCCAGCCGAGAAGAAGCATTTCCAGCCCTTCCCACGGCGCCCAAGCCTACAACAACGATATTCGGCTACGGGACTGGCAGCGTACGTAGAGATGCCGGCGGCTCGAGGAATACCGGTTTCTCATGGGGAGCATCTAATGGGGACACGTCTACACAACCAGATAGCAATGTCGGCGAAGACGGAGCGGATGGTTCTGGGAAAGGAAAAAAGGGAAATAAAGGCCGAAAGAAAGTATTGGTACAATGGGGCTAGCTGTACTTTTAAACATGAAGCTTTTACAAGTACCTGTTAATGGATTTGAAAGTTTCTATCATATGAGGTTTTAATGAATAGACGCTTCTTACATCCTATGCCCGCCGTTAAACAACCATGACACTCCCACACCTTTAGGCATTCCAAGGTCAGATTAATCAAACGTAACTCAAGTTCTCAGTTGATCACATTAACTATAGGTGTACAAGAAGGCTGCCATATTTCCAACCCTGTCGTTCGGGAGATCATCGCGAAAACTTTGGAACCTCATAACCCCCCGTGGAGATTGCTGCTCTTTTAAATGACTTTGAAAAACAAAAGGCCGATTAAACTAGACATAGTACTTTCGTGATACAACCTTAGGTTTCAATAACTTTTACAGCTGTATATCTTTGCCAACTTAAGGAGGTAGTCAGTCTCTTTAGCAACCTTAGCAACTGCAATTCGGGCAATATTCTAGGGCATATTCATAAGGAAAGACCTGCTTGACATCTCGCAGCAAAGATACACACGCCCGAAACAGGTACTTACGTCACTAATGTAAACTTAGGTCTACTTAAGGTATATCAAATGCAACTACAGCCGCAACTACAAGTGCAGCTGTAATTATGAGTGCGACTGCAACTGCCACTAAACTACAACAGCTGCAACAACTGCAACTACACAGGAAAGTGCTTTTCTTGCGGTAGCAATCAACACTTGCAACCTTTCCACAACTTTTCCATAATTCTAACTCTTCAACTTTCCAACTCTCCAACTCTTCCACCCTTCAACTCTCAATTCTCAATTCTCAACTCTTCAACTCTTCCATTCTCAGCCTTCAACTCGGATGACGAGGAAGTATACGTCCTCCAACTCGCAGGAGGAGGACGTACACATCTCCTTTCAAAAGATCAACCGCCGCCGCATTCAAATCTTCAACTCTCAACATTCAGCTATTCAATTTAATTCTCGCACACCCGAACGCCACTACACAAAGACGCTCTATCGCTACGCAGCGGATACACCCCAATAGATGCGGGTAAGTCACATCATCCTATTGTGTCCCTTTATTGGCTCATGTTTAACTCATCTCGGCCAGCAGAGCCTGTAGGAGATTGCATATTGCAACACTCACACCTTGGGGCATCGGCTGCTCTTCATTTCTTGGTCCTTTTAGGGGCATTTGAATGACTTTGCAACACTGGAGGTGTTGTCTGGAACGTCGCCCCCCTAGCATATCTTGCAACATGTCCTGAGACTACTAGTGGCCTGCCGCAGAATTGCGGCTCATTTAAAGGACAAGCATCCATATAGCGCATGTCACGTCCTAATGCCAGGGCAAGACCTGAAGGCAACAACTTGAGGACCACTTGCAACACGCCCACATGTATTGGTTCTTGCAAGGCTCTATGGAATTAGTAGCACTGATAGCCCACATAGCCCAACATGGGACATGTCCTATGGGGGCGGCGGAGGATGTTGCTGCGTCGGCACTAGCGTCCCATATATATACGACTGCAGATCGTCGTAACCCCCCTAGCGGTCAAGCGCGTAGCCGCGGTGGTGGTAATGGCCATGATTATCGTGGCCGTGGCCGTGGCCGTGGTCGTGGTCGTGGTGGTTCCGGGCAACAGAGTGGTAACTCCTCGGCTGGTCCCTCCCAGAACAGCCGGCCCAGCAAAGCCCAGCCGAGCAAAGCCCAGCTGGACAAGGAGCTCGACGACATGGCGCGAGCTCGGCAGGCCGCGCTGGAGGAGCATGGGGACGATTTTGATGCTGAAATGGATTACGGGGAGTAGATCCCCGGCCTACCAAGAGGGAGATGGAAGAGAGGGGATGGAAGAGAGGGGATGGAAGAGAGGGAGGAGATAGAAGAGGCTTGGTTGGTGATAATCACCTTGGGCGCCTCGTCTTACTACACCATAATGATACTTAGCAGTCTTAGCTTTGCTAGAATTCTCGATAGAGATAATGAATAATTCCGTGCCGCCATATATCGCCTTTAATTTCGTATTCCGTATGACGTAGTTTACTCACCCCTTACGCTCTTAGTTCATCATAACATTTCCCGTAGTAACACTTGACACTCGAGGATAGCTACCCGTTTATGATAGCCCCAGAGTTCTGCATCACCTGTAACTCTCACTCTCGAAATACTGACGTTACCTAATGCCTATATCCTTATCCTCTTTCGAGGGCGTTGTGCGCCTTTTACCCATTTCTAACAGATCTACCCCTGAACGGGTGCGATACCACGATTGAGCAAGGCAAGAACATGGTAAAGTAGTGGAAGAGGGTTTGAAAAATGTAATACACGTAGGGATAAAACCGCAACACCAAGGCACCGGCTCTAAGGGATATTACCTACCTATGTTCCGTGTCGAACCATATGTAGTTTTATAGGGGAAACTCTGATATCGCTTTAAGCAAAGGTAAGTTCATCGACGCATGTACTTCTCAGCTTGTCATAGTTCTTGGCACTCACATCCTTCGCTACAAGTATCGACTGTCCCGCTTATCTGGTCGGGTCTATTAGGTACTTGTACTCAAACCCACCGCCATCTTATTTTGTGACACTCGGCGACAACGGCACACTACGAGCCAAGGGGGCTTCGATCGAAAGGCAAATCGTTGCGGGGCCCGTTAGAAATCTTAAGAGTACTAATTCCTTGAAATCTGCACAGTAGCGGAAGTTTCACCACGTACAGAACGAGGTCATTCTATATGCATTTGGTAGCCTTTACCGCGCCCTATCGGATGCTAGTTTCGTTTCGCGGCTAACTGCAATATCCGACTCGACATGTCATTCCCATACTAAAACCAAGCGGCTTTCTGGTTAGATACGCTCCTCAACTATGAGCCATCCATTAGCCCCAGAACGCCCGTTCAGTGCCCGTTAGGTAGGGCTCATCTTGCTCTACAATATGCGTATTCTTCCCTGGCTATAACTGTACTACCCAACTCGACATGTTATTTCCGTACAAAAACCCAGCGACTGCTCAGGTATAGATTTATGGATTCCCAGTGCGACGGTAGGTTTACGAAGGATATACTAATACCAGTCGAGAGCGTACGTTCGGGGCTATCTAACGAGTATACTTTCATTGGAATCCATACTAATCCGTCATACTACCTCCTGCCGTACCGATGAGCCTACACCGGATGGCCAGCATACCCTATGTCACCACAGCCCCGTATACACGACGCCCAAACTAAGCTGATAACGCCTATAGAGCGCTAGCATTGCTACAGTTAGTTTTCCACGGGCATAGGTAGACTTAGGGATTGTGACTTATGAACCGACAGCTACGGGACTAGTAGAATTTGGTATCTTAGATGGCCTCTGATAGATCCAGGTAATCAAACAACTAACTTACGTAGGTCCTGACGTGCTACTACCCTCGGCTAGCAAGTCCTCACCGATCTAGGACCGCATTTAGCTGCTCAGCTGTTTACCACCCGCAACGACTAGCCTCCTTGGAAAATAGTCTCGAGGTATTAGACAGGCTATTTGCTACAGACATCCCGCAGGAAGTCGAACTTGACTCTACATATTACACGAGATTATCCAAGCCGGAGATAGCCCTTGATCTAGCGAGTCAAAAGAACATAGTCTCGTCGGCGTGGCTTCGTGGGAAAGCCTCCAAAGGTAAGCCAAAGTATCCTGGCAGCGGACGCATTTGGGTACGGAAATCTAGCGTTGAGTTGGCGCCTGGGGTTCTCAATGATTCAATACCAGTAACAGATAGGCCCCTCGAATACACACTGATCGGTGGTCCTTAGGTCCTAGTAGCCCTCGTAGGCGTCTCACAATCCCTGTTGAACATATCCAGGGAGCGGCAGGGTTTTATCATACTATATGGCACGTCGAGTTCATTCTTGGACAACTTGATACTTCAAGATACGACAGATAAAGCATTTGGCAAGCCCTTTAGAGCGGTACACTTCCGGATGCGACAGCTCAATTGTTAGAATCGGAGTCCCCGAGTCGTGTATATCAAGGGGTGGCAAGATTTTTGATTAGAGAGTAACGCAACTAGTCTCTACGCCCTAGATCTACGCCCTAAATCTACTGCTGATACTGTAGCTATCTTACACCCAAGTCTTACAAGCTGGTACGTGGAAAGGGGTCAAGTGTGGTATTAATCATCCCGCATGCTATTTAAAATAGTAGCCGAGTTCCATCTCAACGCACCTGCTAATCCTCCTAGGACGCCTGCGCCTGTCGTGGCGGCGGGTATGCTCCTCGGTGCGGCTAGCGCATGCCAAGCCGTCGCCATACCAGTCCCACGCACAGACTCATCCTCATAGTCGGGACCGAGGTGGCTATGAGCCTCCTCCGTATACCTGTCCATACGGCCGCTACGTGGGCAACGGACTTTTAGGGGCTTTCGACTGGGCCCTGGGACGACGCCGGGCATCGGTACATCACCGTCGCTCCCAAACATTCCATCGTCGTCGTGCTCTCCCCCATAACCGTCACCCCCAAACATCCCATCGTCGTGCTCTCCCCCATCTCTCGGCTCCCCGGGAAAGTCGTCGGATCGATCGTCCAAATCGGACCTGTCGGGCGCGTGCAGGAGGCGCTTCTCCCGTATCCTCATATCCGCTAGTAGTAAGGGTAAGCGGAGCTTCGTTAGGTCTTCCCAATTCTTTGGGGCGTCCTTTCCCGACCGCGCGTTGGAAATCACTTTAAAGCGTTCGTCCATGTCGGAAAACATGGCATAGCCGAGATCGTGAACATCTCTAAAAGCCTGTATGAGCACTTTTAGGTGGTTGGTCGTTACGGCGTACAGCTGGAACTCCGCGTCTTCCTCCTGGTTGAAGGGCTCGATCTCCCTCTCTTGATATTGTTCCTCTAGCAGGGCGAAGACCCGTCCTTCCCAAGGGATCTCTAACCCTTGTTCTCCCCACAACCGACGAGTCTGCTCTCCGATAAACAAAAGGCTACGTCGACCTTTGATCGTCTTAATGGCCCCCTCCACGTCCCTAAAGTACGGGCTCCTCCAGCCGGACTCGTCCAAGGGCACGCGGCGCCTATCGTCGATAGAGCAAGCGACCGCGTATCGAATGAATAAAGAGAGGAGTCCCATGTCTCCGCGACAAGGAGATGCGACGACCAAAAAGTCTAAAGCCTCGCAAAAGGAACGGTTCCAGTTGGGGTCGGGCTCCCAAACCCCTTTGGCTACCTCGACCTTATCTCCGTACTCCAAGTACTCCCGAGCCCCTATCACGTCCGTAGGGAAGACGCCGCGTAGCTGGCACGTCTTTCTCCACAGGGACCAAAAGTGGTTGTGGACGTTACGCTTTTTTGCCGTGTACGCCCGCAACGGGTTGGCCTCGAACCTTGCCCTTAGATCATCCTCCATCTCCTGCGTCCAGCTGCCCTCTATATCCGCGCTAGGTAGCCTAGCGAGCAGCTGCTCCATAGTCACGACGGGGCGGTTATCCTTCACCCAAGCCTTGACGTTGGTAGAGCGGTCAGCAAGTAGCTGGGTAAACTTGGAGGCGTGAGTCATCATGCCCCCGGCATCCTCGTCCTCTCCGTCTTCATCGTCGTTCTCTGCGCGGCCGTTATCGTCTGAGCTTCCGCCTTCGTTGCCGCCTCGCATATCGACGTCCTCGTCCTCTCCATCTACCGCATCATCCATTCCCTCCATCTCTTCGTCTTCCTCCGCGTCCTCTTCGTGCCGCGTGTGTCGACGCCTTTTTCGAGGAGCTCCAGCCGGTGATGCTTCGGTTCGGCGTTTCTGGCTGGCGCTAGAAGACGCGACGCGACCTGATCGTGAACGTAAACCTCGTCGATTCTCCATGTCGTAATAGGCAGTATTAAAATTGAGGCAAACTTGCGGTGGAATCGGCGAGTTTCTGGTTTGGGGGATGTTGGGACGGAAATGCTACACGTTACAAGTTACAAGAGAATTACAGCTGCCTACCTAGATACAGTCGCTACGACTACGCAGGTGGGGATTTGTATACTAGAGGTTACCCCCTGGGCAACACAAAAGCCTAAGGTTTACACCGCACCAGGTTTCTATACTATTATTATTATTATTATATATTAGCAACCTTCCCCCTATTAAACTGGAGGGCACCCCTATAATAGCCTGAATTTACTGCTATTACACGGCTGGACAACACTCTCAGTACCCTGGAGACCTAAGTAATAAAAAAGCCTTAAACATATGCATATGCAGACTTATTCCTTTCATATTCACTGCTTTCTATCAGGCAGGAAAATTATCTACAAGGTAGCAACAAGGCATGTGTCCTAAGTAGGAAATTTTTACTCGCATTCAACACAACATCCTAAGGTAAACCTTAGGCACATCACAATCCTGACATCGATGTTAACACCTAACACCTCTATCAGATACCGTGCATCGTTTAGCAATCCAAGATAGATACCTAGCTTTAAGTAGATTCGATATGTCCAGACTAACAGGCTACGACACAAGGTAACCCGACACAAAGGTAGATATCAAACTTTGCCTTGGCAAATTTCATTCGTCGTAATCCCGCCAATTACAAGTTATCCATTAGAGAATGTAGTCCTAGCAACCAACACAACAAGCCCAGGAAGAAACCAGACATAAGTCGTAGTCGTGAGTCCAAAGTAACTTGGGTACGTACCTGGGCACCTAACGTAGGTAGGTACCTTTTACCTTGTCGTCTTCTTTTATTTCGCTAGCCAAAACTTTCACAACATCGACATCGCAACCCCAACGTCGCCAATACCGACGCCACGATATCAAGGCCTCCAAAATATCTAACCGCCTTAATTATCCTCGTCTCGCTTTTGAGAAACCATCAGCCATGTCGTCCGGTAGTCAGGAGGCGGTTTCGCAGCTAGAAACCGTCCTAGCTAGCACGATGGAAAATAAAGAAGTTCGAGTCGTGGCGCTGACCACTCATATCGGTGAAGGAAAGAGCACCGCCGTCATCGACAGAATCTGGCGCCAGGCCAAAGTTGGAAAAGCTCCGCCTACTATCATCTACGTGGTCTCCACCCTCACGGAGTCTGCTTTGTTACATGGTTATCTATCGGAAGGAAAGTTCACACCGGACGAACTTGACAGCCTCGAGAAACCTACTGGTCGCCCTATATCGATCCGCTCCGCGTCTGAGTTCCTTCAGCGGTTTGGAGAGCTCCACGAGGACCAGGACCGTACCGTAGTCGTGGACATCACCTGGTATCCGAACCTAGAAGATGAGATAGCTCTCGGCGGCCTAATAAAATGGCTTTCGGGGGCTAAGGAGAAGGGCTTAAGTATATGCTGCGTCTTGTTGATGTCGGAGTTCGAGTCGCAGCGGACGGTGGCGGCGTTCGAGAAGTGGGTCGGAAATGTTCTACGAGTCGACCTCACCGGGAGCAGGCATCCGAAGGTTCGCATAGAGGTCCAGCAGGGGGAAGGATGGAAGGATCAGGTGCGGCAGACCTTACTGGATGCTCTCGATCAGGAGAAGAAAGTGGTCGTCGCTACGAACGGTCTTTTAGACCTTGAATATCTTGGCCGCGAACCATTCGAGAGCAAGCTGGGCCAGCTATCGTTCGAAGACCACGAGACCGTTAACACGGTGGCAGGGCACCTGGCAGTGCTAAAACGAGCGCCCGTGATCGTCGTTGATGCAGAAACTCCTTTCTCTACGAACATAAAGGATTTGGGCGTGGTCGTCTCTCTGGGCTCGTCTCTCCGTACTAACCTATTAATTCCCAAGCTTATGCAGGTTGTCAGGAAGGATCGGGATCTTTCGTGGTTGGAAGTGCTTCGGCAGCACTCGTGGGCCTCCAAGTCGGCGGCGGTAGGCGGTTCGGGACCTTCCGCCGTCAGATTCTTATGCCCCGCGGGCGAGGAAGAGCTGAAAGCCAGAGGCGAACATGCGGAAGACCTCGGCCGGGCGTGGAACGAGGATTTCATGTTCACGGCGTTGGCATGCTTCTATAATTGGCCCGGCCGCCGTCTGAGCCGTATGCCTACGCGACAGCCTCCCAACGACTACGTCTTCGCCGACGCCGTACGCCGTCTCCTCGTCCTAGGATGCATCAGAGAAGGCAAACAAGAAGGCACGTACGAGTGCACACCACTTGGTACTTGTATTACGAGAATGCGCCAAAACGAATTCAAAGACAAGTTCAACTTCCACGTGACCTATTTCCTGGCGCGTATTCAGCTCAGGCGGCTCAAGGATGAGAGCCCCGAAGTCCTCAGGGTACTAATTAGGTTGGCAGCCATAGCCCATTTCGGTGTCAAATTCCTATATCACTTCGCCGAAGAGATGGACGCTGACAAACTTCGGAAGTGGCTACCTGCACTTATAAGAGGCAGAGCGCACGCCGGGGCTATGTGGATCGCCTTGGGTGCATATCTATTATGCGAGGCCGTCGGACTTGGACGTGAAGATACAGGAATGGCGGCAATCGGGCTTGGCGCCGTCGATCTTCAGGTTTTGGCTACGGTTAGCATACACGTACAACTCTTCGAGCGCCAGTTCGACCTGGGAGATATGCCGCGCGACGCCAGCGGCTGGATGAACAAGGCCCTAACGGAAGCCCAGCTAAGATCCATCGACGAGGATATGATGTGGGCGTGGCTGCATAGAATTGGCTCCTTCGAGCCGGCTGGAAATCCGTCCGGGGCGGGAACCATGGTGGATTGGGTGAGCCTGGAGGAATTCGGCGTCAAGATGAACAAGGAAATCATACAAGAGAGCGATATCAGGGAATACTGCAACGCGACGACCGAGGGTCGAGGGGCTTTCAGCGCCTTCTACCTGTTGCTAAAGGAAAAGGACGGGAAGAGATGGGCGCGACATCTGACGTGGATCCCACCCGAGGCGATCCAGGACTTGAAAGAGAAGACTGGATTGTCCGTGACTACGGCGGTGGGTAAAACGTTCTAATGGAAAAGGCTGGTTTATGTACCTAATATAGGTCTATAGTCTGCTGTTAGTCTTATAGCCCTATCGTCAACCTCGCTATTGTCGTTACCGCTATCTCGCCGTAGCCTCATATTATAGCGATTGATAATAGGGTACGCTTATAGCTATTCTGTCGTGTTGCAACTTGCAACTGTAACCATTACTTACAATGACATTACCCAACGTTCAGGTACGTATTCCTTAAGCAAACCTAAGCCATCGCTAGATACTTGATGGTAGTATAAATACCTTATGTAGTCCAGGAAAGTCGTGGTGAGTATGGCAGAACTTATGTAAGCATGTAGTTATACCTTTTAAGTTGGAAAGTATCTGTACGTGTACCCGCTATAGCTTACCCCTATCCCAAGGCGTACTATTATGTCATACCTAACGTCGAGGAAGGAGCAGACCTAGTATAGAGTTTAGAGCCCAGTTCATATTCGCGCCGTAAAATCCGCCGTGGATCTCAATCTCAATTGAATCACCTCTCGAACCAGCTCCAGCCCAGTAGCTCCCGCGCAACTATCCTATCAATCGTTCGAGATGGCGGAGAATACAGAGCAGATGGTAGAGCAAGCTAAGCGGCTACATGGGTGTATGGAGTGGCTGGCCACTACGTTGACCGAGCACCGGACTGCGGGTGATAAAGTCTCGGCTATCAAGGATAAGCTGGATGTTTTTGAAGAGATCATCCAGAGCTTTGAGACCGTGGTTGGGGGCAGGCGCGCCCAATTGGAACGCCGCGAAGAGGCTGTAGGACGTCGCGAAGCCTCCGTAGAGGATCGCGAAGCCTCCGTAGAGAATCACGAGAGACTGCAAAATGCTCTCATGGTGAGATCGGAGCGGCTACTGGAGGGGGAAGAAACGCTGCGACAGGATCGAGACAGCGTAGAGAAAAGGGAGGCGGCTCTCGAGATGGCTCAAAGCGTTCTACGGTATGAGCGCAACAACATAGAACAAGAGCGCCTGGAGTTGAGGAACGAATGGGGCTCGGTGGAAATAGCGAAGGTAAACCTGGAGTGTGAGATGGAAAATCTCACATTCACAACGGGCGAGGCCCTCTCGGAGCTGAAAGATTCCAAGGATCAGCTGCAGAGTTTATGGCAGCGAGACGTCCAAGCTCACTCCGACAGAGTAGAAAATCTCTCTCGGGAGTTAGAAGCCGCGAAGGAGGGCGCCCGCGCAGCCAATAAGGTCGCGGAAGAGGCCCTGGAAGCGAAGCGTAGGGAGGAGCAACGGGCGAGCAGTTTCGAGAATACCGCTCGGCAGGTCACAGAGGCTAAGGACTTGGTATGCATAGAGCTCTCGGCCGCTACTAACAAGATAGCGGAGCTAGAAGCTATGCTCGCGAAGGCGACCTTAGATAGCAAGTCTCTCTTGGAACAGGCTCAGGAGGCCACGAGTAAAGAGGAAAAGCGGGCGAATAGTTTAGAGAACGCCGCTCGGGAACTCGAAGAGGCCAAAGCCTTCGTAGACGGGGAGCTCTCAAATGCTACCGAGAAAATAGCGGAGCTAGAAGCTACGCTCGCGAAGGCGACCTTAGATAGCAAGTCTCTCCTGGAAAAGGCATAGGGGGCCAAGGCCTCGGTAGAAGCCGAGCTCGCCTTCGAAAGGAGCTCCCTCGCCGACAAATCCGCCGCTCTAGCCGTCGTGGAAGAAGAAAGGGACGGCCTCAGCTCCCGGGTCCAAGTCCTAGAGAGTACTGTCAAGTCGCTCGAAGAGAAGGTAGCTACGCTAGAGCAGGCAAAGATCCAGCTGAAAACCCAGATGGACAAGGTCCTGCCGGCCGTTGCGACGGAGGCCGCGGACAAGCCGAAGAGGGCACGCAAAGAAGAACCCATCGCGCGTCTGTCATCCTGGCACACAGCTGTAGACAATGCGGGGGCGTTCCTTCGAATATGCCAGCCCGAGATGGATCCAGACGGCTCCTGCACCGAGGAACAAGTTATGGAACCTATGGTCCGGGCCGCCGTGAAGGAAGAATCGCGGAAGAACTTGATGGAATTCTTCGAGTCGTCTCCTCGCGATAGCTGGTGCTGCTTCGAGGGCGTGGTGGGAAGCGGGCGCTTCAAAGACGTTACTTCGAGTGCGTGTTTCAAACATTGGAACAAGCCTTGCTTGCAGATTCGCAATTGCAACGAGGGGGGGGCAGAGGGGTTACAATTGGGAAGGTTTCTATGTAGATTCATTAAGCCGTAGCTCTACCCACTACCTATCTCGGGAAGGAGTCGTCTAATAATGGATTTTGATTTTGAAACCGTATTGCAGCCTCATCGCCAGCCTCGACGCCGCTTTTAGTCTTGCTGCTAGCCTTGCTACTAACCTTGCTGCTAGTTGTCGTCTCACGGCCTGGTGGTTACTCTCTCCGCTACCCTGTAGTCAGGTATACGCCCTATCTGGCCTCGTTAACCTCCTCGTCGCTACCACTTTGTAGCAAGGTGTATGCGCTGGTTCGTATCGTATCTTTTTAGCCTCGGTGCTAATCTTGTCCCTACCTTATAGTAAGGGATACACTCTATCTCGTCTAGCCTCGTTGCTAGTCTCGTCGTCGTTGCTATCCTCGCCACTACCCTGTAGCAAGGGATACGCCCTATCTCATCTCGTCTCTCGTCGTCGCCCCTAGCAACACTGCTACCGTACTAGGGCGTCGTCTCCTGGCTATCCCTGGATCTCTACAAGGACCTCGACAGTACTCCCTTTCAGGCCTAGTCTTGTAGATACGCAATCGGTAGTAGGATACGCACTCCCATAGCTACCTCGTCGCTTAGTCTACCACAGGGTTGCTTGCTACCGTACTAAGATGTCTCTTGGCTATTCCAGAGCCTCGTTTGGAGCCTCGACAGTACACTTTTCAGGCCTCGCTCCCCCTGCAGCGACTGCACGGCTCTCTGCTACTAGTCTCTCTCGTCGCTTGGCCTATCACAGGGTTACCTACTACCGTACTGAGGTGCCCCCTAGCTATCCTCGAACTGCGTCAAGGACCTTCGGCAGTACACCTTTTCCGGGTCCGGTGTCCCCTGCAGTAACTACGCGGCTCTGCTATAGCCACCAGGTACGATAGTAGGGTACGCACCCCATAGCTATCTTCACTGCTAGTCTCTCGTCGAATCACCTGCCACCGTACTGGGATGTCTCCTGGCTATCCTCAAACCGCGTTAAGGACCTCGGCAGTACACCTTTTCGGGCCAATCGCACCCAATCGGTTGTAAGGTACGCACTCCTATAGCTACCTTGCTGCTAGCCTACCACAGGGTCACTACCTACCTTACTCAGGCGTCTCCTAGCTATCCTTAAACCGCGTCAAGGACCATCGGCAGTACGCCCCTTTCAGGCCTCGTTATTCCCTGCGGCGACCACGGCTCTCTAGGGACGACTGGGAAGTCCTACGACCTCCTAAACGTACGTAATCGGGATAACTAATGGTCCTGAAACGTAGCCAAGACGACTAGTAAGACCCGTGGCTTGCGTGGCAGGTTCCCCGCGGCCCGTGAGGGCCACGCTGTCTGGGTTGGCTGTGCGTAAGGACCGGCACGGTGGTCGTGTGCGGCGGATCGGTTGCGAATAGTACGGCGCCCCGGAACGCGCATGCGGAGGTTGGGGCTGTGATGCCCGCCGTTGCCCCCGGCGGCCGTTGACGATCAGGAAACGGGACGGGCAAGGGGGAAGGTGAGGAGGTAGCCGCCGGGAAGCATGGGCAAGGCAAGGCAAGACAGGACAGGACTGGGTTGGCTGTGCGTGGGGACCGGCATGGTTGCCATGTGCGGCGGATCGGTTGGGAATAGCACGGCGCTCCGGAACGCGCATGTGGAGGCCGGGCTGTAACGCCGTTGCCCCCCCGGCGGCATCAACGCGCGGGAGACGGTAGTAGCGGGCGGGGCGAGGAGACATGACATGACAGGATAGTAGGGTAGGGTTAAGGGTAGGGTTAGGGTTAGGGTTAGGGTAGGGTTAGGGTAGGGTTAGGGTAGGGTAGGGTAGGGTTAGGGTTAGGGTTAGGGTAGGGTTAGGGTTAGGTTAGGGTTGGGTTAGGGTTAGGGTTAGGGTTAGGGTAGGGTTAGGGTAGGGTT